CTATAGCTCCATAGTATGTGGTTAGATACTCCTTCTAACTTTATGGAATCAATAAGATCTCTCATAAGTAGATTCATATTTCTATACTATAGATGTAAATACATAAAGACAATACTTAAGAGAATAATATTTCTCTATTTTTCTCAAATAACTCTTCATATTCCAAAAGCAAGTAACTCTAATGTACTCTCATAAGAACCTAGCTTTGATACCATATAAATATTCAATTTGAGCACAAACTTACTCTATATCTATTCATGTTTAATATAATAAAAGTTACTTTCACTTAAATAGGTGTTAACTAGACGATATAAGAACTAGATTTATTCATCCTTTCAACAAGGATGAAAACTTAACTACCATAAGAAAATTTTAACTATTAAATAGATGTTGATGCCACCATCTAATCTTAATCCTAGCAAAATGAATGTTGGATGAATCTTTTTAATATCTTTAATATAGAATGCAAATTTTAAAACAAATGATGGAAGAAAGAAACAACAATTGAAAAAAGATTTAGATGAGCGTTTATCTTGGATTAAAAAGCTTCATCTAAAAAATAATCAAATATCAATAAAACGATATATTAATATAGATAGAGATGATGTTTTTAGAATAAGATATAGCTACAAATGAATTAGTACAAATAGCTTTGGATATTGATCCATGTATGTAACTTGAGTTTAATGTTGATTTGAATGACTTAAGTGATGTGAATAAACAACCTCTTCCAATTAAAATCCATCTTTTTTTTTTTAATTAAAAATTAATTTTGTAGAAAAAGTTTGTACAAAATAATCTATTAAACAAAAGAGAACACCGCAGCTTTTGGTTCCACGGGTGAGAGATTATATTATCCGAGCCCACCCCACCTTTCGGCAATAAAGAACATATGTTTTTTTATTTAATCATGGAAAAAGCTACTTTTTTTAGTGTACTAGATGTCACTAGTATCAAAAGGGTAATTTGAAAGCCTAACCCTTCAAATATTTAAATATTTATTTAAAAGGGTAATTTAAGGGTAATTTGAAAATCTTAATAGAAAATAATAGAAAATTTTAAACTTTTTAAAAATATTATTAGATGTAATTTTATAAGAATTTTGTAAAAAACTATTTATTTTTATCTACTAATTTATTAATAAAATTAATAAAAATATAAATTTTTAATGATTTTTATTTAATTTTTGTAATATATATATATATATATATATATATATATATATATATTTGTGTAAATCTAAATTTTTATACATATTATACTGATTATTGTATAACATTATTTTTTAAATATTTTTTATAAATTTCACTTTTGCATATTTTTAATATCTAATATATTATCATGATATTGATCCTAATTTAGAAAAATAATAAATTAAATTATTTTAGTACCATCCAAATTAAATATAAAAATTTACATACTAGACGATATATATATATATATATATATATATATATATATCTAAGAGAATTAAATGTTAAAGAATACATTTTTATTTGCATGGTACTGAAAGTATAATATTATTATAACTTTAAGAATAAATTTAATATTTCATTTTTTCTATTATTGCACTTTACATTATTACAAGTACAAGCTTGTTTTCAATGTTTAATAATACATTATAACATGTTGTAAAGGAAAAATTATTTCATAGTTATTTTTTTTATAATATTGAATAAAAATCATGAATATTAGTAATTCTAATATATAAAGATACAATTGAACTTGAAATAAAAGTAATAAAAATTAAAATTTTCATAAATATTTGATAATAAATCAAAAATCAAAAATATTAATCAATGAATTAGGGGAATTTTTTAAATTTATACATAATTTAAGACTTTCAAGTTATAATCAAATTTTTTCAATCATATAAAAATAATAATTTAAGTACAGAATCTTATGCAAAATTTTATTATTTTAAATTTTTAAATTTTTAGAATAAAAAATCAAGTTTGTTCAATTTTTATTGCAATTTAAAAAAGAACCAAAAACCTTTGAAACATGCTTTTTGCAGATTTTAAAGTAAATATTCATATTTTGTTTTTGTATTTTAAATTTTTTATCCATGCAAATAAAATTTTAAATGGACCTTTGGAATGATAAAGTAGATACTATATCTATATAAATATATACATAGTTTTATATTTATATAAATTATTATTATTATTATTATTATTATTATTCATCTTTTATCTTTAAAAATAATAAGAAAATTATCATCTATTTTTATTGAATAATACTATAATCAAATAGAATATATATACATTTATATTTATATATATACACACACATACATACTAAAAACATGTTTATTATAAAAATTGGACATTTTCAAATTAATTCACATATAATAAAAAAAAAAGTGAATAGAAATTATTAAATTATATTTTTTTATTTTTTATAATGCAATAAAAATATTTACGTTAGTCATACTGTTGAATATCGTGATTTAAATATTTTAAGAGGATTTTATTACTAATTTCTACCAACAGCAATATAATAATGAATAAATTTTGATTAAGTTTGTTTGAATTTTTCGAACCTTTACTGAAATTCAAAATATGAAAAATACATTAATGTTTAAGAAATAAAATTAATGAAATATATATAACACAGGTTTTAAAAGACAAAATATGGCATAATTGAAATATTTAAAGAATGCTGCAAATGAGGTAAGCACAGCATATGTAAAACAACCAGAGAACATGATTTTTTCTTAGAAGATTTTTTTTTATTCTAATAATAAATCAACAGAAGTGGCTAAAATCACATATTTTCTTGTGGACCTTTAATTTATTTAAAATCAAAAATAATATAAGAAAATGTAAATGGAAGCCAATGGAATGACAAAAATGGAAGCCTTATGTATTTTCCAAGAAACGCATTTCCTTAGCTTATAGTCCTGTTCCACCATACACTTTGATAGACATTGAAATAAACTTCATTAGCAGGCATCTACAAAAGATATATAACCTAAAAAATTTAAAAATTTAAAATAAAAATAAATAAATAAATCACCAGCTTTCCACTTCATTGCTGGTGCATTTGGAGGCAAACAAAGGCACCTCAAGTAAACCACCAACATGGTGAATTCACCATAATAGAATCTAAGATTGAAGAAGAAAAAACGAACACAACACACATGGTTTCATGGGGTGAGGGAACGAACAAACGAACGGGTAGATGTGTAGAGAATGGGAGTAGAAAGAAGAAGAGTGGGATTGGGTGTTTTATTTTCCCATGTACCTTTGGCAGTGAGAGTTGAAGCCCACTTGCCAGGTGGGTTGCCAGATGGGTCAAACTTCCACCCACCTTGCTGACGGGGCACATTGCCACGTGTACATGAACCCAGTTTCGGTTTGTTGATGACGTAGGCACTGCCAGTGTAGGACTGGCCCTGGTGGCAGGCATTGGTGTCTGCATTGTCTGCCTTCCTTCCTTCCGTTATTCACTCATTCATTCACTCAATGGAACTGCGGCACTCAGGCAGGCAGGCAGGGGCAGGGCAGGGCAGGAAGAGGCAGTCTTGTGTCAACAGAAGGGTGGAGCCTGAACTCACTCACTCTCTCTCCTTTCCTTGTTCACGGGATGCTGGCAGCTGGGTTCCTGTCTCTGCATGTACCGCAGCTGGGTGCCCATCTCCTCCCCCATGGCCTCCTCCGCACGTCTGGGTTGGGAACCTGGCTTGGCTTTTGTAGCCCAGGCGGTGAGGTTTGCACTCCCATTGAGCAGGCATTGTCACCAGTCAGTAAAGCCACATGTGCTGTGTGCTAAGTAGTGCGTTCAGAAAAAAAATTGTAAAAAGAAAAAAACTTGAAACTAACAGAAAAGCCGATTGAGAAAAATAGGGGTGGTTCGTGCTGCCCGGACTGTGAGAGTGGTAATCTCTAGCGTGAGTTTCGTGGTGGATTGTGATGTCTACACTTCAAGTGATAATTGTTTTTGTTTTTCTGGTTTATATATATATATATATATATATATATATTTTTTTTGATGTAATTTTTTTTGGTTTAGAAAGCAGTATTTTGACTCGTATCCACGTTGCAATGCCCTCTGGGTGAATCATTTGAGCCAATAAAAAGTTGGCCGCCGTGGCCTTATCATCTTTGGTGTCCTGGCGCAAGTATTCCTTAGCGATTGGATGGAAACCCCAGTTTCAACTGAAACGGTAGTTACTGACTGGTTCTTGTGTCGACTTCTCGTACTTGGAGCACCAACATTAGGTGAACTTTCAAGAATTGTAGGGCAGGACAAGGGTCTACACACAATTTGTCGAAGTGCTGTGGAAGTATGAATGGGTTCTGTGACAGCTACAAAAGAAACAAAATTTGCATTGAGGGATGGTGTTGTTGCGCAGGTACACTACAACCAAGCACGAGCTTGTCCAAATTCCCTGTGAGTTGGTAACCTTTTGTTGGTGGTCCTGGCTCCCGATGGCAGAGACTTCACACTCCTAACAACCTGTTCATCCGTACTTGGGTTGCTTTGAAGATTCCCCTAAGGTGTAATGGTTGAATGATATCACAGTATTTGGAATGTAAAATCAAAGCCTCGGGACACGGCTTTGTCCTGATGGATGGTTAATTCGTGGGTTAACAGGTTCATGCCAAAGCATATAATCCCACCAGTTGCAGCCTCAATAAACAGGCGTTCGATTTCACATGATAGATATGCTTATAAGCACTATGTAAAATAATATATTCAAGAATGATGCATCGGACTGTCTTTGCTGTTATACCATCCACAGACCCTCAGCATCATTTTATCCCTCCGGATGGACAATAATCCTGGAAAGATAACTGTGCTGGTAAACCACACGTTCTGATGACCTCTGTCAATAGTAAGGAGACTCTGTCAAGACGTAGAAGTTGGACAGGTACCTAGTCCGAATTCAGGAATGCATGTAAGCTACAAAGTGCTGTAGTATGACAACAGACTTGATTTGCTTCTTTCAAGTGACCATCATATCAAATGAGAAAGTATGACAGGGTCCAACGAGAGTAAAATGAAAATGCTCTGATTTAAGTACATATACATGGGGTGGGATGCTGCAAAACTTGTGGTCCAATATTACCCGACAGGAACAGTTGGTACTGAGACTCAGATTTGTCAAGCAACAAACGTGCGGGCCCTGCATCCTGCACTTTTTCTGTCATCCCAAATCTGATGATTTGCTCAGCTGGGTAAATGAAGAGGGAATTCGAGTCAGTCACACTAAGAGCTTGGTAGTGTAGCTAAAGTGGCAAGATCTATCGTCTAAATTTGGCGCAAAATTTGATCACATTTGATTTAACTCACACGACGTGCCCTGCCAGTACTGCTGCAACCTTCTCAATATTGGTGATGCGATCATCGTTGCGTTTTTTCTCTAGAAAGTGATGCAAAAACATAGCCAACTCATCATCAAATCCCCGTAGAAATAGAAAATAGAGAAATTCACGCTTGAGGGCTTCCGATAGTTGCCTGCCAATCCAGAACCAAAAGAAAAAGCAGTAGATTAGTGTTCGTACACCTGAGAGTGCCCTAGCTTTCCTTCAAATATTAACTCGGCCGCTTACAGAAGCTCTGAATACGGAGAAGTTGTCTAATGAATTGCTACTCAACAAAGCGCGTAATTTCAGTTCCGAGCCTCTAACTCACCAATTTTAATGCTACTCTTAAGTTTTGAAAGGATGGCACGAGGTAAGCCGGTGTATACTACCGAATTTTTTTCACACAGATGTAATTAATAGGTTGAAATAATACAAGATGACGATATCAAATTGTGTATATCCATTGTTATTAAATAAGACCTGGAGATTGAAATGCATTCACGAGTAAGTTTTTTTTTTTTGTTGTTGAACCTGTAAACACGTCGTTCAACAAACAATTCTACAATCTAAACTTGTTTATGAACTGAAACTTGAAGATTACGATGTTGAAAGAGTTGAAGAATAGAAGATCAAAACGCGAGAAGCACTCACTTTTCATGAATTGCATGGTCCTGACCCTCCTTGGACTGATCCTCATGGTAAGAAATGTAATTGATGAAGTATTCGTCTCCGTGACACTGGCAGCTGATCTCAAGAGCCTCTGTTCCACCTTTGGTAATGGTGATTGTCAGGTTAATGAGCAAAGCATAAGGAGCTTTGGGCATGACTGAATCACTGTGCACGTCCTCATCCTCTTCACCTTCATCCTGCGGTTGTAGCAGGAGCTCGCACTTGACACTCATCTTTTCCTGGTCATACTCCCTGTGCAGAATAACATCCATACAACCAGATTTCGTTTGCAATGAAAAAGGCTCCGGTGGCTTGAATTCCCTGTCCTGCGATGCGTGTTCCATGCTTTAGCATTCAAAATTTGCCCAGAGTAAAGCGCGGAGTTAAATGAAGGCAATTCTGATTTCATCCATTTAATGCGCTAAGACAATGTTGCACAGCGTACAAGTGAATCTGAGCGCAGGTAAATCCATGAAGTTCAAGCTAAATACCAAGTACATTCCACAAATGCTGCTCTAGCAATAAAAATAAATAAATAAATAAACAAATAAACACGTAAAAAAACTGGAAAAGCGTCGATGTGCTTCGAGGGCGGAGCATGCGATCAATGTTTTTCCAATGAATGGATATATCATACTAAACACATTCAAAGATACGAAGTGCATGAGAAACACATCTACACATGCAGAAGCATGATTCGCTCGAAATCTCTCAGTAATATTTCGATAATCTCCATGCCCTCCACATTAGCCTGCAAAGCGAGAAATCCTTTCACAGATTTCAGAACCAGATTCAAGACCGCCTTACCACATTAGCTGCCTTCAATCTCCTAACCTCGTCTCTTAAACCTTGGCGAAGACTTTCAATAATCTCTCCTCCACTAACTGCGGGAAAATTCTCACTGCATATAGAACGAGCTAACGCTGGGCTGGGCTTGAACCATAACTGTGACCTATATCGACATGGCCGCTGTCTCTGAACCGGATTAAGTCCAATAGTCCTAGTCTGAAGAAGCTGCAAATTCGCAGATTCTAATCCCTTCCTCCTTATTCTTGCAATGACCCATGATGCTGCGCGCACTGAGACCTGCATCTCGCGCTTACCAACGATCATTCGCAAAACAGTCTTACATTCCACAAAACCCACAAACTCATGAAAATCGGCTCTGCAACAGGGGTTTAGGGCTCAGGGCTTAGGGTTTTCGCATCTGTCTGCATGTGAAAATAGTTTAGGCGCATCGAAGCACTTGCCACGAATGCCCTTGTCAACAACGCCAAGGACCAGATCAAAGGATAGCATGAAGGAAACTGAGCAGCAGCAGCATCTGGAGCGCACATCCCGTAAAAATGGTGTCAGAGGCTTCGCACGTGGACCCAATCGGCCTTTGATATCCTATAGACAAAAAAACAGAGGGCGGCAGCTCCTCCAGCACGGGGAACTCCTCGAGATGGTATCAAAATCTCAGCAATCCCTCTATCACAACCACGCAATGCTGCAGCAATGCTTCAGGTTTGCAGCGTTTCATTAAGCCCTAAAAAAGGATGCATTCAGAAGCCTTGATGCTTGACAGCTCTATGGGCTCACCTCATGGCTACAAAACCCCTCACTATATCACCGATTAGTGTCTCATCGGGGCGATTCTCACACATCAATTACACCATTAGCAACATTCAAGCACCGACTACTGGCCCATGTGTATTAAAAGGCTAGGCATCTGTTTTATTTACTGTAATCAGGTTTTCTCTTTTGTGCAAGCATTTTTCTTTCCAAAATATCGGATTATCTAAAAATGACTGCGTGACAGTGCAAAACTTTCATTCATCATGAAAAAAGTGACCACATTGTGATTCATTCACGCATTGGTGTTCATCCAGAAAAGGGTCTCTTGGCCAGGATGAGGGGAAGGGAAAGAGGGTAGGAGGTGACGAGCTGTGCCGCAGAGCCACAGACTTCCTGCCACACAAAGTGTAAGTCTGCAGTGTCCGTCCTCACTTCCATGATTTGCCAACCCTCCCTGCTGCAAATCGATGTCATCACCTGTGAGAATGCGATTGCAAACCCCACCTCTCCCCCCTCCCTTCCACCAGCTGCACCTATGGTGCGACCCAACAAACGAGGCCCGAGCCTTTCTCACCACTAATCACGCAGGTGTCTTGAACATCAAGTGGACCCTTGCACCGTCAATGTGTGCGCGCAATGGAGAGAGAGAGAGAGAGAGAAGGGAGAAAGAGATTGAACGTCTACGTCTACGTCCATGTCTAATTCAGCCTTTTCAGCCTTATTTGCTGCCATTCAATAATTCGCGTTATTATGGAGAGTTTATCGAATAAGGACAAAAATAGAGAGTGAATAAAAATAAATAAAAATGGTCATGCTTACAAATCCGGTTACATACCATGTGGATGCAACCAAGCATGTGAAAGGCAAGAGATATATTAGTTTCCAACTCAAGGTTATCATGGTCCTCGTTTTTCATATTGTACATCGTTACTTACTTTGCAATTCTGCTCTGACTTCGCAAGAGGTCTAGCGTGGAAGAATTTGTTGATGTTTCCTACTTAAAAGTAACTCCGGGATGAGCTGTGAGCCTACTTCTACGATTGCTGCACCCATTTCAAGTTAAGGAACGAAGTGTTTCTAAGAGTATGAAATAATTAATCTTATTGGCTGAACACTGAGTTGATTCCACAACAACAACACCACCCCACACCCTGTGAATCATTGCCAATCTCCTCCAAATGCAGCTATGAGTTTTGAGAGTCTGAGATTGAAACTAATGCAGCATCGGAGTCACAGACATGCTGAATTCAATGCGGAAAAACTGGTTCGAATTGCCAGAAATTCGTACGTCTCGTCTACAAACCTCATCTGGTAAATGCTTCACCAGCCTTGAGGCCAACGCTTCGTGGGATCGAACTGAAACGATTCCTTGCCGGGTGGTTGCAGCCAGTTCCAAGTATTGTGAGACCTAGACTTGGCAAGCCCCCAGTGCACTACCTCTTTGAGATCGCGCCCGTTTGGCAACGCCGGGCGCAGCTTCAGCCAGCTCCACGCTCTGGACCCAGGCTTCATCACGTCGCGATCGTCTCCTTCGTCGCAGTCGCTCATGCCCATCACAGGAGATTCATGGAGGAGCTTCACGTAAGCAGTGTCTGCTAGTGTCGCAAACGAGACTTCTTCCATCAGTAGCGATGAGCGTGTGTCTCTCCGCGGGGGTAGCGACACTCCTATCTTCTTCCCTGGCTTGCAAGGCGCCCCATCCGAACCCATGCTTGCCCTCTTGCACCCACAACCCCAAAGCAGTTGAAGCCGAAAATGGAACCTGTCTGTGACCAAAGTTGCTGAAGCCTTTACATGCTTGACCAACCCATACAATGCGAGAGACTGACGGTGGTTAATTCGTGTTGTGAAAAAGCTATGGCTGCGGCACTGGACCAAGCTCCTAAAGACAATTGCTGATTCCCTCTATTCTCCTCGAATCAGGCCCTACATAGTGTCGATTATTTTTGTGATGAGCGCAACAAGTCGTGAGAACCACCACGGCAGTGTGGCGAATTGAGTGGGAGCTGACTGAAACGCACTTCGTTGCCGTTGCGAGAATCTTATTCTTAACCAAGCAATGTGTCAGTTATCTCGACCAACGTAGTGATTCCACTCTTTTTTTCTGGGGAACTCTTGACCGAAGCTCGAAAGCATCTCGAAGAGCAGGTTAGCCACTGTACGTATCGAATTAAATTAAGACACCATTTTCGGCTACCTTTTCCAAGTTGCTCCCGTTGCCAGCGGACCGGGAAAAATGTTCCTGCGTGATCTTGTCGTATGAACCAAGTTTATTAATTCCAAAATTTGTTGACAATCCTTGACCATCGCAACCCTCTTTAATTAAAGGGAAGCCCTTGTTAGAGGACTGTCAAGTCAGAAATATTTCCACAGCTTGAATCAAGCGAGTTATTGCAATCGATTGAGCTGGATTCCAAGCAGTGAGGGCTCCCTACGTTGAGGAACTTATCATTACATGAAATCCACATCAACTTACTATCGAAGGAAGGATTCGCAGCTATGGAGTTTCCAGTTGATTCGGCATCATTTCCACTTTCAGCAAACTCTTGCAAACAGTTGAAAGGAAGCAGCTGGCAATGCCAATGGAAATAGCACTCAAAAGGTGGGAAAATAAAAAAGACACAGTACACCGGAGAATCGAAACTCTCAGTTAAGAAGCCATGAATCATTGGGATTCGTCGCAACACAATCAACCACCCCAAAATAAACCAAAGCACGAACCACTTTCGCAAAACAAAAAAGCAAACACAGCTCGGCGTCCTCCGCCAGCTCTGAGGTATCACTGCAGATGGGTCCCGATGCGGATGATCACCAACTGGATTAACGCAAGAGAGTGAATATTCTCAACACGAGATTTAGTGAAGCGCATGTAGACCTTTATTAGAGACTCCACGCAACATTTACAACACAGAAGAGCATCCATCTTTAGCTATCAAACACAAGCAGATCTCCGAAATGCTGCAGTTGCAGCAGCATCAAGGACTGTTACTCATTTCCTATTAAAGGTGGCAAATGCCCATGTGACAATCGCATCCTGCTCTCTCTCGCATCAACATGCGTGACAACACCCACTCCTTCTCCTTCTCCCACGCACTCGATTATTCCTTTAATTTCAGTTTTCCATGGTGACTCGTTACTTGCAAGTTGCGTGCAATCCAGTGCGCGGCAACTGCGTCCCTCACACAATCACCTCCGCTCTCGCTGCTCACCCTGCTACCGACACTGTGTGTATACATTCCACACCCTTCTCTTCCCTTGTATACCAAAACCATGGTTTTTGTTTTTGGTATGTTGATATGCGTCCCTTTTTCGAGTTGTGAGATTGTTTCGTATTGTGTTTGGTGGATTTTGAGGTTTTGTTTGGAGATTAGAGGTGTTTTTATGGTGATTTTAAAAATTTTGGGTATGTGGGGTTGATAGGATTAAAATGAGAGTAAATTTTGTGATTGAAAGATTTGTGTGCTTTTGATAAGTAAATTTCCTTTCCTTACTTTTCTTTTCTTTTCTATTATTGCATTTCAAATGAATGTTTGAAAGTACTATAAATGCAATTTATTTTTGATAGTGTTAAAGATAATAATAGTCATATTAAGTCATCAATCACAAGATTTTTAGTTTATATTTTATAATTTAATAATATTTTAGCAAAAGGTTAGATAATCAAGGCTTGTAGTTTTAATTCATGTTATGGATTTATGTCTGGAATCAAAAATTAAAAGTAAAAAAAAAATGATGTAAAACTAAAATAAGAAATTAAATCCTTTAGTATGTACAAATTTAATTTAGTAATTGTTCTTACTCAATGTAAAACCCAAAATAATCATATTTTATATGTATATGAATATATATATATATATATATATATATAGAGAGAGAGAGAGAGAGAGAGAGAGAGAGAATAACAAATGCACAAATATAAATGCAAATGCAGATATTTGAAAAACTTAAAACTTTGAATTTATAAGTGTTGTTACTAAGACAATGGGTTATCATATTATTTTTAGGATTTTTTTTGTTTTATAAGTATGGCAGTTTATTATTTTTTTTTTCAACATAATATACATCTAAAAATCAAAAGCTAAACAAGTATGCAAAATTATATCATACAGGTTTGCAAATTAAATCCCAACTGGAAAACAACAACCCATGCCTAATGGACCATTATCCGTGATTCATCCTTGTTGTATAAAATATATAGAATATAAATGAAAATTCATGGTTAATACATACAACCATCAAACTTGCATCAAGAGTGGGCTGATATATGCACTCCCCCCCCCCTTCTTCTTTTTTTGCTTTCATCCCATTCCTAACACCACCTCCACTACACTAAATACAATGAGCATGGATTGATGAGGAAACACCAATGATTTTGATGCACAGAAGTAGAGAGCAGCACTTCTACACAAACAGTAAAGAATTGCAGAAAGACATGGTGAGTAGCTTCTTGTGTCCTATCTATCCACCAGCTTTGCTAATGCCCCCCCCCCACCCCCACTCAGAACCCTATTCTACAGACTTGGAACAGGACATGTGAAGAAAGTATGCCTATTTGTCTATGTGTCACCTGCAACGTACATCAAAGCTCCACCATATTTACTGATCAAACTACATCAATATCCATAATTAGTGTGTATTGCACTAGTCGGATATTGGTGTTGATATTGATATGCAGAATGCAGCCTGAGGAAGATCCAACAATTGGGTTTCTATGGAACAAAACATCTGAGGGAGTGACACAATGCAGGGATTCTTTTGATTCCATGCTTTGCAAAATAGAGTGATAAACACTAATTATGGATATTGGTGTAGCTATACATGCATATATATATATATATATATATAATCCAAAGGAAAGGAGGTAGGAGGTGTGACTAGTCAGTGTGGAATAGTGTCCAATCCAGAGTTCAAAGGTTTGCTTGAAGATATGCAAGGGTTGAGCCAAGGATCAAGGAAGTTTTGTTTTTGTTTTTATTGTTTTTTTGTTATATTTTTTACCCTTATTGTGTGTTGAAGTTCAGGGTGGAGCTTTGAAGTGCTTGGGGACCTGCACCACCACCAGTTTGTTGCTTCTCCAAAAGTCACACCCCATGCTTCTCATGCCCCAGCTTCAAAGCCCCCTTACAGGCACTTCAAATCAAACAGAATTAGGGTCTCTATGAACCAAACCCCAGGTGGTGAAAAATGTGGACGAACCTCATCTATTAGATGCGACAACCCTGCTGACAGCTCACAACCCCCTCTGCAGACATCACCTCAACAAACACATTGGTTTAATTTTCTTTGTTTTCTTGTGTGTAAAAGCTTTCACGTAATTATTAATATAAACTCTCCACACAAGTATTTGAAAAAATATAAATATGCAAATAAATAAAATAATACTATTAAATAATGAATAAAAACTTGTGAGAGACAAACAGTGAGGGAATCAATGAAGGATACCAACAAGCCCATATGTCAGCCAAATAAGTTTACTTCCATTTTATCAATC